ATCCCTAATCCCCAACACACACCCTATCCCATCTTTAATCCCCAATACACACCCCATCCTTTATCCCCAACACATACCCCATCCCTAATCCCCAACACACTCCCCCATCCCATCCCTAATCCCCAACACACACTCTCCCAAGCCGTACCTAATCCCCAACATACACCTCCATCCCATTCACATTCCTTCCCATAACTAAAGAGCAATACACACATACCAATGCCCATCCTATAACTAATCTCTAATACACACCCCATGTCATACCTAAAGGGCAATACATCAACACCACCATTTTATATGTGATCCCTGACACTCACACACACACACATGAACCATCCAATATATACAAAGTCCCCATCCCATGTCAAATCCCCAATTCACATATCAGGTGTACCCCTGTCACTCAGGGGTGTATGTGTGACTCTCTCACCAGTTTGTGACCCCGAATTTATGTGTCAATGTATTTTCACTGACATTTTAGTATCTGTGCTGGTGCAGGGTCCAGGGAACTTATGTAACATGGGAGCCCATGGGGCATCCCCCTCCTCCTTAGAGGTGGAAATCTGTCCCCTTGTGATGACAGCTGTCTGTTCTTGTTGGGTTAAATCTCCAATATATACACTCATCCCGTCCCAAATGCCCAGTATGCACACACATGCCTTGCCAACACCACAATAGCCATCACCATCAGCAGGGCTGCATTGTGAGTTGCTGCTTGTGCAGTGCCGTGGATGGACTCAGACTGAGATGTTGAGCTTCTGCCTGAGGGTCTTCTCAGAGGAATGCGAAAGGAACAATGGAAGTGGAATGTGTGACTTCAGACACGCATGGAAAATACCTTTAGGCATTTGATCTGGTGGTGACTCTTCAGGATATTTCTCCGAGCGGTCAGCGGGCTGGAGGCCCAGAACGGGGCAGCTGGTGGTCAGTGGGTTGGAGGGCCGGAGCGGGGCGGCTGTCTGTCCTATACCCTCACCCCCAAAACGCATATCCATCCCATATCCTAATCACGAAAACAGACACCCATCCTATACACTAATAATCAAAATGCACATCCGTCCTGCACACTAATCACCAAAACACACACCCATCTTATACACTAATCCCCAAATCACAGACCCATCCTATACACTAATCCCCAAAACACACACCCATCCTGTACCCTAATCACCAAAATCCACACCCATTTCTTACTTAATTGCTAAAATGCACACCCAATCCATACCTAATGAACATGCATACCCATCCCATACCTAACCGCAAAATGCACATGCCAACCCACATAGCTAATACACACACCCACATCTTGTACCTATTTCCTAATACCTACACATCCCATAAAACTCAACACGCACACACATACCCAGTGGTCGCATACAATCCATACCATACCTAATCCCCATTGCACATATACATCCCAACCCACACCAGTCCCTTATTCATTCCCTAACTCATACACACATCCTACAGCTAATTTCCAACATCCAAGCCCATTGCATACCCAATAGCCAACACACACAAACCAATCCCATACGTATTGCGGAACACCAGCATATCTCTCTGCCATCCTATTCATTCCAGTATCAAAACTTGTTCTGCAACACAAATAAACATCAGACTCGAACACAGCACCGGGATAGTGTATATCTTCTACCATACACGTTCCCGTTATAAAATAGAAGCTATACTTGCCACGACAAAAGGCAGTTCATGTAAACCCTAACTTTGGCCTTTTGCTGGGATCCTGTCAGAAGGAGGGAGGGAGCTGCGAACTCCAACCATTGCTGCCGCCCGCAATCCGAACATCTGGAGGAGAAAGAAGCTACTCGGCTCGGGGACAAGGAGGGATCCTGCAGAAAACCCGTCCTGCAGTTTTAAGGAGGCTGCTGGGAGAGAGCAGACACATTGGAACACGCGCCCCCCGCCCTCCCTCTGCTGTAATCCAGCTTGTTTCTCCTTTCAAGGAGGAAATTGTTAGTGACTGGAGGCAATCCGCAGAAATCTAACACCAGTGCTTTCCAGAAACAGAGCTCCCCTTTACCTGAGAAGAGTCAGTGCCGAGTTTTAAACAAGCTGCTTGGAGTTAGCAAGCTGGCTGTAAGGGGCAGAGAAAAGGAGCCGCTCGCCAGGAATCCGTGGGAGCCAAGGAAAGCACATCTGGATTGCATTATATACTGGGAGTGGCCTGAGCTCAGAAGCTGGCCATCGGGAACAGGGGGAAGGGTTGGGAGAATGTGCAATTCCAGAACAGTGCCGCGGCTCAGGCAACACCTTGTTTCAACTTTGAGACCTGACGCTCATGAATGAGGAGAAATATTCTGTCTCTTCAGTCCAGGCGCTGACCTGCGTTAATTCCGACCCAATCACCCTCAATAGAGAGTTACACAACTACTCGGTGGCGGAGACCGTCCAAGAACACAGTGTGTGACTAGAATACTAGTGGCACTCAGAATCTGCCCAGTACCAGAATGTGTAATCATCACTCCTTCAAAGGTCTTATTGTCAGCTCGGTGATTATAGATTTAAGTTCTGTTTCAGTACACAGTCTATGCGGAAGGAATGTTATTCGTTCGAAGATGATACCTTTTAGCTAAGATGTTACAACTGTGGTTCGGTGAACTGAGGTTTCACTGCCTGTTCAGAAGGCTGTACAGTTAAGCCCCTTGGCGTATTTTGCAGAAGAGATAAGAATTTCTCCTAGTTCCCTGGCTAATATCTATCGTCCCACCAACAGCAGTAACAGATTAACTGGTCATGACCATATTTGTATTTGTGGGAGCTTGTTGTGTGCAGATTGCCTGCCGCATTTGAGTTACATTACAGCAGTGGCTTCAAGAGAGTTTGATTGTCTGCAAAGTGCTTTGGGGTATCCTCAGAAGGTGATGATGCCATGTAAATGCAATTGTTCTTTCTTCTGAACGGCCGTCGTGGGGAGCATCTAGTAATGAACTGAAAGAACCATGCCACAGGATCTCACATTTTTTAAACAAGAACAAACTTCATATATAAATTAAACAAGACAAACTAACAACACTATCTATTGTAATTAGCTGAGTTGCAAAACCTGTCCTTTCTTTTAGTTTCCTTATTTATTACAAAATCTTGAGGGCTCATTGGTCTCTTCTGGAACCAACCCAGCAGTTCTTCTAATAGGTTTTGTCAAAATACCCACCAATCTTTTTGTTAAAATTTCATGCCTGTGGACTCCCAAGTTTCAGGTTGAGCTCCATTCCCTCCCCAAACTACCTGCTGTGTATTCACTACAGGGTTACTTTGAATCCAAGCTAAGCACATCTTCCAACATCTTTTTCCCTTATGAGCCTCATCTACAAACTGAGTGCGAGCTACCCCTGAATGCGTGCAGTGAACAAGAGAATTCATCATTTTTCTGCTTAATGCGCAGGCATGGCTCTAACATTTATACCTTTCGTTCAGCCAATGCGGGGAACTAAAACTCAAACTGAACTGCTTGTTTTTGTGAGCAAAACACACAAATAAACCCTACGGAAAGGGCTGTTTCCTGAAATATAACTCCATAGCAACATAATTACCTAGGATGTTCCAAACTGAAATGAACATTAACTATGAGCTTAGAAACCAAATCTGTGACTCTGTGACCCAAATGAATAATTTATATCCCTAGTCAAGTTAACAATCATTTTTTCAAACTTGTTGATCTCACCAAGGAGCTCCCTTTTAGCTTTTCATCTGGGAGCTATATAAATAATTTTATTTTTAAAAATTGAGATATATTTAGGACTCTTGACTCCATCACAAGCTTAGAGATAGGCTTTCTATTGCTTAGGTTTTCTCACTTCCAACCCTGATCAACCTCTGAACTGCCATTACTTGACATGTTCTTGCA